TATAGAGAATCAGTGTGTGCGAACTTTCTCTCAAAGGCAAAGATGGCCTCCTCATATGCGTCGTGTACAGATCACCAAACAGTTCCTCTGATAACGATAGAGTACTAAACAGCCTTTTACCGAGCATGACTTTCCGTAGGTCACACACGTAGATCGTTGATGACTTTAATCATCCAGAGCTAAACTGGACAGAAGGATCCTCTCCAAGGGATGGGAATCACCCAGCATCCGTGTTCATGGAGACTGTGAGAGACTCCTTCCTAGTCCAGCACGTTACCAAGCCAACCCATTATAGAAGTAAACAGACTCCCAATATTCTAGACCTGGTGTTAACTAGTGATGAATAATGTCAGATGAGCTTCGCCACGATGCTCTATTAATATTTCGAACTGTCTCTCAGGACATGAATGTGGCTGAGTCATGGTCATTTCTCAAGGACACGGTTATGTCTGCTGATGCTGCGTATATGTACCTAAATTAAGCTCGGTGGAGCCAAAAATTCTGTGGATGAACTGTAAAGTTCTAGCTAAGCTGAAACAAAAAGAAGGAAGCCTACCAGCGATATTTACAGTGGCGATGCTGATAAAAACCTATACGCCAGAGCTAGAAATCAAGCTAAATAAAGCTGTTGCACCGCAGTAAAAATCTTAGAAAAAAATATCGCCAAAAATGCAAAAAATAACCCGAAAGCCTTCTTTTTGTACGCTAGCTCAAAGTGCAAGACAACGGACGGTATTTCTGATTTGAAAATAGATCAAAGAAAGATATCCTCTGATGAGGGCAAGGCTAACGTTCTTAATCAGTTTTTTAGTAGCGTATTCACTGAAGAGGAATTGAACAGTATTCCAGCTATTTAGGAGCGCCCAGACGGATCTAAATTAACAAGTTTTGAAATACAAGAAGAAGAAGTTCTCAAGCGCCTGATCGCTCTAAATCCCGACAAGTCATGTGGACCGAACGGCTTCCACCCCAGATTACTCAAAGAGTTAGCAACCGTCCTAGCCGGCCCCTTGACGTGATTTTTTCGAAAAACTTCGAACGAAGGGATCTTGCCCACTGACTGGAAGAAGCTCAAGTGACACCATTGTTCAAAAAAGGTGACAAAAGCTGCCCAGGCAACTATCGTACTGTCAGTTTGACAAGTGTCGTTTGCAAGGTAATGGAAGCTGTTGTGAGGGATCGATCTATCGATCATATGGCTGTTAATAATTTCCTATTAGACTGTCAACATGGCTTTAATGCCGGTAGATCCTGCACCACTAACCTCTTGTCTACTCTGAATGAATGGACCCGCCTGCTGGACGAAAGTGAGCCAGCAGATGCAGTATACCTCGATTTTGCCAAGGTATTTGACAGTGTCCCACGAGAGCGGCTATTGCGTAAATTGAAGTTTTCGGGAATTGAGAGTAATGTACTGAAATGGGTCAGAGATTTTCTAGTAGGGAGACGACAAAGTGTCAGTATTAATGGGACCGTATCAGACTGGGCTCCTGTGCGCAGCGGCGTGCCACAAGGAAGCGTTCTCGGACCTGTTTTATTCGTTGCGTTTGTAAACGATTAGCCAGAAAGCTGACGTCTAGCGTGTGCTCGATGTATGCTGACCACACAAAAGTTTAGAATACAGTGAGAAATACGTCGCAAAAAGTACAGTTGCAAGGTGATCTTGACAGTTTGGTTAACTGGGCTGATAAGTGGCAGCTGGTCGTTTTCAATGCTGACAAAGGTAAAGTAATCCACTTTGGCAAGAATAATGAACAGCAAGATTACAGTATGAGAAGACATGGTTGCAATGACAAAGTGATGATGTCGAAGTCGACAATGGTAAAAGATTTTGGAGTAAATAATAGTAATATCGACAATGAGTTGAAATTTTCTAAGCATATTGAAGCTCAAGTTAATAAAACCAATCAAAGACTTGGACTGATCAGAAGCGATGTGTCTGTTGTTTGTCGCTGTCGTGCGTCCGAACCTAGAGTTTGGAAACGCAGTGTGGTCACCAAACTAAAAACTGAAAAAATTTAGTCGAGAGTGTTCGAAGACGTGCAACACGGATAATTCTGGTATTAAAAGGCAAGCCTTGTGAAGGAGGATTAAACTTAAAAGATTATGAAGCTTCCAAGCCTCCGTTATCGACGTCTGCGTGGTAATCTCATTGAAGTATGCAAGTATACCCACGGTTTATACAGTTCGCAGAAGGATTACTGGAATTTGAAACAAGAACCAACACCAGGGGCCACGGCTATAAACAAAAAAAACTGCGTTGTAACACATCCATGCGACATTTCTTCTTGCTTCGAGTGACCGTCAAGTACAACAGCCTCCCTGATAGCATCGTTGACGCTCCGAGTATAAATGCCTTCAAGAACAGACTAGAGTCTAGACGAATCTGTGCAGGAGCATATGTTCAGTCTCGATATGCCTAGCACCTTTCGAGCCTTGCAATAAGTCCAGCCGCTATCTCAATCAATTCGTCAGTCATGGAAAGATCGGGTTCATAAAGCCGGATCCATTGGGCAATCAAGTCACGAAAAGAACAAGAATCGGCAACAGGCCAAGGGCCTATTTCTTCAGTGCCGATATTTCTATTCTATGTGAATTGAGTTTTTCTTACCAGCGATAGGTTGCGCCTTGGCAAGGTTTCTACATGCCATGATGACTCGAGCGCCTCTCTTGGCAAGCTCCAGCGTCGTCGCCTTGCCGATACCTGCAACAGGAAAATGTATTCCGATGAATTAGACCAGTGGTTCCCAAACTTTTTCAGACTGGCGCCCCCTTAGGCTCCCTAGTGAATTTCTATCGCCCCCCACAGACATACGCCTCTTTCTTGAAATTTAGTACGCTGCAATTTTAAAAGAGAAAGGCTTAACACAAATGTGTATTTCACAAATAGAACTCCTTTTAGTGAACCACTGTATTTTTCAGCTGTTTTAACTGATTCAGCACTAGAAACCTAGGACGTCTCGGGCGAATTTACGGCCGGACTTGTAGCCGGTCTCACGACCAATCTCCAAATTCAATTATCAAGTAATATCTCCCAAACTAATGAAAGCAGCTCTATGAAACTTGGAACACGTATTCATCAGAACCGAACGGTGATGTTAGCTCGTAACTTTTTTTTTTTAATTCCAACTTCATTCGTGAGTTACGCGTATATTGCGAAACAGGCCGAAATTCGCAGTGATCAAAGAATTTCTTCCAAATATTGAACAGATTTGAACGAAATTTTGAATATATATGCCTAACTACCAAACAGTAATTTTTAGCTTATAAAATTTTTTGCGATTTTACCTTCGTTTGCGAGTTTTTTTTTTCATTTCACCGTCATTCTTGATTTCACACTTCCTAATATTCGGCCCGTATCGCCGGGTAATTTGTCACTTAAATTCGCGGCGATCAAGAAATTTCTTCTAAACTACTGAACAGATTTCAAGGAAACTTTGTATATAATTACCTAACCTCTCAACTCTGATGTTTAGCTGGTGACAATTTTTATTTTGCTTTCGTTGGCGAGTTATACAGATATAGGAGGAACGACCGGCTTTTCTACAGGCCGGTTTAACCAAGACAAAGGCAAAACGAAAAAATTGTAACGAGCTAAACATCACCGTAGCTGAGGTTAAGTATTTAAATACTAAATTTCGCTTAAATCTGTTCAGCAGTTTGGAAAAATTTATTGATTACTGTGAATTTAAACACGTATTGCTGTTTAAATCACTAATGAAAGGGAAATAAAAAAAAAACTCGCGAACGAAGGCACAATCGAAAAAATTTTCAGGAGCTAAACATTACCGTTCGGTAGTTAGGACTGCAAATTCAAAATTTTGTTCGAATCTGTTCAGTAGTTTTGAAGAAATTACTTGATAACTGTGAATTTAGGCCCGTATTGCCACATAACTCGGGCAAAAACAAACGATGGCAAAGTTCAAACAATTTACACGAGCTAAACATTATCGCTAAGTCCCAATGAATACGTGTAGGTACTAAGTTTCATCGAGTTAAGTTCATTGCCAATGACGGAAAACCCCTGATTTGGGGGGCGCAAAGCCCCCCGGTTTTACCCCGCGCCTCTACGCGTATTGTGCTTTGCACGAGCTGTCATTATTCTACTCACAGTACGTGCGATTGTAGAGCGAGGTAAAGTTTTCACTCTCGCAATCACACAGCCCAAACCTCTGCTCCAATCTCGCTGGAAGTTTCACCACTATAAGTCGAAATTGAATTTCCAAACTATTTTTGCTCGTGTGACTTTTCGATAAAATGTCGTTTTATATGCTTTTTTCACAAAAAAACGGTGTTTTTTTTTCACCCTTTTTCAGAGGGAAATTTTTTCCACGCTCAATATCTCCCACACCGAGCCATAACTTTTCCCCAAACTTTGCATGAGCATTCTCTCATCCATGGGCTGCATTATCCTGCAAAACTCGTCTCCAAAATTTTCCTTTAAGGGGGGACTTTTTTCATTTTTTTCTTTTTCCTGTCCGGCCGTTAATTTGTCTGAGACGTAAACACAGGAGAGGTTAAAAAACAGATCTGGGTGACAAAACCATCGCTGGGAGTCATATGCTGCACGTTTTGTGTACAAATCGTCACACAAACGTTCGAACTTCTGACTTCGACTTCGGACTATCGCCCCTTTATCGCCCCCCTACCGCCTTCTTCTTCCTTACCGCCCCCCAAAATCTTTCCACCGCCCCTAGGAGGGCGATATCGCCCACTTTGGGAACCACTGAATTAGACTGTGGAGGCTAGTTCAGTTCTGAGTGTGTGCATATCTCTTCTTTTATTCCTGTTATTTTTTCTCAATTGGAAGTAAGTATTCCAAAGTATTTAACTCTGTGCTATAAGATTACAACCGAAATTCTTAAGTTTGACTGAAGAATTTGACTTTTAATGAACCAATCAATAATTTAGTGGATTTAAGGGCTATTTCAATATGCCAGTAATTTCATTGTCAATAAAATAAACTAGCGATGTCGTCAGATATTACAGAATACGAATACTAACGTCAATTATTTATTGCTGTCACAACAGACCTTCAGTGAATGACAAATTCAAATCCAACAACAGACAAATTAATGTTAAATAAATACTATCACTACGGGGTCTCTCCCTTACGACACAGAAAGGAAGCCATAACATTCATGATCGTTCCGTCACTGTTCTAATACCATGATTATTTATTATTATTATTATTATTATTATATAGCTATGTATTTTACGAAGAACACGCTGGAAAATGAGGCTCACCTGCACTAGCTCCCGTAACAATGACAGTTTTTCCATCGAGGCGCACGCCATCAGGACATTTTCTGGCCATCCACCGGTTAATGATGCCAAATATAACTAGACTTAGGAAAATGAAGGCAATAAACGCTACTACACTCAAGAATATCCACAGACCTACTGACATGATGAGAAAGTTTTCGTATGGAAGTCTCTGCGTGTACAAATGGGTTGCATAAACATTGTTTAGAGTTGTATTTGAATTATCTGGCCGAGAGCCTTCCATGGTAAATCGTTGACAATACCGGTATATAAAAATCATCTTCACGCTTGATGAGAGCTATTTTCAAGAACACATAAGTTGCAACTCAGCAGATACTACAAGCTAATCACTAAAAACATATAATACGTACTGGTCATAACTACGATTCATAGGGTTCTATTGCCACCTTATAACTAATAAGCTTTTTCTATCGCGTTAGAAAATTGTGACAGTTTTCTTAGCAAAATAGATTGTTTCTTATGAAGGCCAGCGATATAAGTGCTGAGGCTAAGTTTAAAATGAATCTCTGTTCAAGCATTAAGATAACTCATGATGATCATGTTGCTGATGCACTTAACGCGTTAACGGTGACGGTAAAACTCTCAAACTGAAGGAAAACTAATTTCTGATGTTTCCTGTTAAATTCGAAGCAATCTTCGACATACATATAAATTCAGGACATAGTCAATCATAGATGGATAATTAATTTTTTACTGTTTCTGTATTATTACCGACGTTAACTTGCGAGTATGTTAATTTCACTCTCTCGTCTCACCAAAATCAGGTCATCGTATAGAATTTGGAGCCGAAATTATAATTAAAATTAGTTAACCCTGCTGATATTTCATTGTCAATTGTAAACGCTAATATAAACGCCTTAATATACCTCACCAAAATTTAAATATTCCTGGAAAACGTTCGAAATCAGCCTGCAAGCGGCCCTGCTTTAAAACATTTCTATCTGTGCATGATTCGTGTGGACGCTAATATGTTGAGAAGCAACACATGGCATTTGATTTTTTGCAAAGTTTCCATAGTAAGTCAAATTTTTTGTTCCGTGGTGACTTTTCAGCACAAAACTACGACATCCTACCCAAACGACGAACAGTTCGCAACTGGAGTCTGGAACTCTAACGGTGTCTGTATCTGTAGGACTGCTATAGGAGCGGGCTGAGATTTCACATTCTCGATCTGCCCGGAGGCACGTTGGCTGCTGCTTGCTGGACGGTGGAAGTAGCTTATATTTTTTGCGTATTTTCATGTAATCCATACCCTTATTTATAAAGCTCGTCTCGCACTAAATAAGGATTTCAGGCAGTCATTATGATATAAAGGCTTTAAATTGAAATATTATTTAATGTTTTCTTCAAAGAGACTTATTCGACTTAGTCCGTATACACATTTGTTTACGAAAAATATTCTCTTCTATTAGCTTTGTACTTCAGACTGAAAAGATTTTCTGACATAGAATGAGATCTTTTTTGTGTTGTGAACTAGGGTATTTAGTCCTAGGGTGTCGTCAAAAGCGTTCGATAAATATTTCTTGCTATTATTTGATATATAGGCAGTAATCACGACGTATTTATGTTTTTTCGGGCATTCCTTTTAGTCGTATTTGCGTTACTTGAATTTTCTTCAGCATCAGGAATCATTTCTTCTTGCGCGAGTTGCACGTTTTTGCACGACACCTCCCAGAGCTTCTTCGCTAGATTCATGTCGCTTGCGTTACCCCACAAACGTTCTTTCTGTAAACAATCATTAAAAGGCCCATGAAGATCATCACAATCAAACTATTTGGTATTAGGGTATTAGTATCCCGACAGTAAATGAAAGTAGCCAACAAAGCCTCAATACTTAGTTGAGATAGATTTTATTCGATTAAATAAATGTAAAATTGAGGTATAAACGTACGTCATTACAATCGAGACTAGAGCAAGCATGATTGTATTTATCAATGAATGGTCGAAGGAACGTTGCAATTTCATCTAATCTTACAAGTAATTCTTCTCACCCTACAATTGACGTAATATGAGCCACTCTCTACACCACCTTCCTCAGACAGAGCCAAGTACAGCTGCGTTTGTGCTCCTTGAGACTCAGTCTGAAAAGTCAGTTATGTTCATCGCAATTAGCAGGATAAGAGTTACTTGCATCGTCATCGTATTCAAATTTAAGTTCAAGTAGCATATTGTCATAATATGGCATGTTTAATTGATAATGATCAGTTAAAAATTGTTGCCGCGTCGGAAAACTGTTCATCAATATTAATAACAATTATTGGAGATGGCATTCAGCGAATAAATTCTAATCCTAATTATGTTCATGAACCTGCAAACACTCACCCGAGCTATAATACTTCTGGTTGAATCCAAGAACCGACAGATCATGGACTGATTCGGTCGACCATTGATTTCGGTGTAAACTAAACCAGGATCCACAGCGTTCGTCACCACTCCTGCACCGAGGCGTAAACACGATGCCAGTGAATTTAGGAAAAGGAGTAGAAAAATATAAACGTGTTATTTTCACAACATCTTTCATCAAATAGTCCTCATAACAATTTAGTACACAAGCACTTAGGTCATGGAAGCGGATTTTTGAAACGCAACCAACGAAAAACGCATCTATCTATTAAAAATCTCTCAACGGTACAATTTATACTCATAATTATGTATGTGTTCATTAAACGGTCAAAATCAAGTTCTTATAGTAAATGGGATCGGTAAGTATGAGAAAACGGCTTCGAAATTCGAACCTGTTCCCTTTAGCCGTCGTGCAAGTTCTTTAGTGAAGAGGATGTTGGCGAGCTTGGACTGCGAATAAGCACGAAAGTAGAAATAACGTCGTCTGTCAAAGTTCAAATCGCCAAGATCCAACTGCCTTCCAACATAACTGCTCGATGACACGTTAATCACTCGACTTGGCGCTCCGGACATCAGCTTGTCTGAAAATTAAGAACTGGTAATTCAGTTATGAGTAAACAAATAACTATGGGCGTAATAGGTTTCTCCGCCGACAGTGGGTATGCGCCTTATTCGAGTAGGCGCAGACATGCGAGCGTTTTTCATTGGCTAATCTTCGAAGGCTCGAGGAGCGTTACGTAGTGGCAGAAGCAGTAACATGCATTTGTACTCGAGACATAATTTTCGAGCAAGAGGCATCACCGATTCCCCTGCAAATATTTAGCCATGAAACAATCAACTCCCGGCAGAAACAAGATCATGAGGGACAATATTAAAGTGTCTACAGAAAGCATATTGCAACGAGTGAGCGACCGCTTTCAGATATTCAACTAAAGATATAGCTTGTTCAAACTTTGGGCTGTCCATGACTGTCATTGAGTCACCAGAAGAATAAACAGAACGAATTATATTATCTAATAAAAACGAAAGTGAAACCACGGCATTCCCAAATTAGCCCACACCCTCGGGGCAAACAGCGCTTAGAACGCATTCAAAGAAGCAAAAGATTATGCCCATGATATACATTTTCAAGACCCAGAGGGACAAGGAATTATTATTGTATTTATTAGTTAAATTTTGAGGGAGTCAAGGAGTTTCCGTTATGTTTATAAAAAGGTTCAAACTCATTTTTTTTGTAGTCAGGGCAGCCACTACTCAACAGTTTATTTCCATAGTTGTACTCATATGCTAACTAGATTACTATTACAATACAACAAATATACAATGAAATTTAGACTAATTTGCCTAAATATCTAAGGACGTCAGAGTACCGGAATTTCTCATTACCCATCAAGAGGTGAGTAAGAAGGAAAGGCCCGTAATGGTTGGTGGTGAGCACGAGTTCATGTCCACTGACGGCGAGCATTTTTTCTTTTGTACCGACAATGCCGGCGTTATTGATCAAAACATGAAGATCTTCCTCCTCCGCGTTGATCTGCGCGGCAAACTTGCGCACTGACGCAAAGTCCGAGAGCTCCAAGTGGCGAACCACCACATTCGTGTTGCCGCTCTTCGATATGATGTCTTCTGAAACAGAAATCTGAACAGTTACGATTTGTTCAAAATTAAAATTCCAATGCAATATACAAGTGAGACAGTCGGTCATGGCTATATGTAGCAGTCTCCCAACCTGCGACAGGTTGCGCCTTGGTAAGGTTCCTGCAGCCCATGATAACACGAGCGCCTCTCTTGGCGAGCTCCAGCGCCGTCGCCTTGCCAAGACCTGCCATCGGGAAAATTTGCCAATTATCGTTTCAACATAGAGTTCAGTTAGCTTTTATATAAATTCGCAGCTCTGGAATCCTATCGCTCCATAAATAATTAATTAAATTGTCTATGAGATTGAATTTTCAGATGCCGCCTTCAATGACAATCTTGTGCTCACCAGCGCTCGCTCCCGTCACGACGACGGTTTTCCCATCCAGGCGAACATTTTCCGAACATTTTCTGGTGAGGGCTCGGTAAATGGGGCCAAACAATAACAAAGATAATAAAAGAATACCAATTGGAACAGCTGAAACAATGAGAGCTGTCGCCCAAGGTGTCATGATACGATAAATAAAAAGCGATTGTCTGAAAACAAAACAGATTAAACAAAATAAAATAGAATGAAGCTATAAAAAATATAACTCTGTACTCACTACAGTGAGTGACAGAGAGCGCATTTTCTCGAAATCGACGAAAAAGTGAAATCACAGACAGACAGACCGACGGACATGACGAGCACAATAGCGCCTTTTCTTCATAAATGATAAAGCTATAAAAAATGAAGGACAGACTCCTTTGACAGCACAAGAACTGTAAGCAAAAAGCAGCATGATGGGATGCGGTGCCTTCAGGGACAGTGGGCACTGGGCTCGCAGCATCGTACGTCAGGAATTTCCACTTCTCGGGATGTATACTCCTTTGTATTTTTTTTACATCGAACTTCATTTTGCTCAATAAGATAGAGTTCCAATTATAAGCACGATACTGAACATGCGAGAAATAATTTAATTTAGAGACGTAGATACGAATTTGATGATGCTGTGATGTATGCAATATACAAGACTATACTGTATGAAGGGCTATGTAGTGAACAAATTTGTGCGCTCTATTCAAACCAATTAAGACTAGTGAAAACAATTATTATATACTTAATAATACATTTTCTATGCTGTATGAAGGGCTATGTAGTGAACAAATTTGTGCGCTCTATTCAAACCAATTAAGACTAGTGAAAACAATTATTATATACTTAATAATAATACTTTTACCCAAAATACGAATAGAATATGCAATAATGTTCAAAATAATGATAACAAATGGAAGGATTTACGCTTCTTGAAACCTTGAATAAAATGTAATGAATAAGCTTCTTTTTGACCACTAATTACATACAACGCGGTACAATGCCCCAACCAAATGAAATTTAATTCGCCGCCAAAACTCAAAGAAGATTCGTCCAGAATCGAAATACTAAACGTAAACATTTTTTCTCAGGACTGCACCTATCTCATTTGATATTTAAAAGCAAAATTTCAGCGCGTGTTTAAAGCCATTAGTTATAATGTTTATTTCAAACTACAACACCATATTCATTTTGATACAAATTATGAGTATTAATTATCAAAGTTTGTCACATTTTTTTAAGCCAACACAGGAGCACACCTCTCCTCACCGCAGGAATATCTCTACTGGCAGTAGTTGCAACAGCAACTGCGGACTGCAGATCTCGAACGTTTTTGTGTGCAAGAAATGTTACGACCTCGACACTCTCCTGTTCAGTGCTCCTCTTCTAATATGTTCTTCACGACTCTGAGCATTGGCCAGAAGCGCAAGCTTTTTCACTCGAAAATTCTTCCATCTGGAAACCATCACTGACTCTTCGTTGAGTGGCCAAGTGTAATACGCTGATTGTAAGGTTGGGAGTAAGATTTCGTCAGCAAGTAGATCTGCTTATGATACTTTTTCGATAACATATTACGCTTCAATGATTATGTTGTTGGTAGCATTTCCTATGGTTCTTTTTTCTTAAATTGGCACCATTGAATGTTGAGAAGTGTGCCTCCGGAGTAATATATCAGTGAAGCAAGTGAAACTTGAGGAATAATGTTATCCCAGCTCAGTATACGTATATTTGGCACAAACTCGCGCCCTATACGACTTTAAATGCGCGGTAGTAAATGTGACGTTGAAAATTGGGCAAAATAATACGGTATTTACTTCTAAAATCGAATAACTCATTTACTTTTTCCTGAAAGTTGACGAATATTCCAATTAAGGTCATTAATAAAACACAAAAACGTATTCTCATATAATCTTAGGCGATCACCAGGATGTCGAGTATATTTGTAAATTCACAGTTCAATTAACGCACCTATCAATCTTTCGGGATATACATTTTTTGCCGGATTTGCAATCAGGATAAGGAATCTTTTCAGCCACAATGCAGGAATAAAGCAATTTAAAAATTCTCAGACACGAAATCTGAGAATTTTTAAATTTTTCGACCGTTTAAGCAAATTTCATCAGCGATGTGAAGCGTAGATGGAGAGAAATCGGGAGATGACCTTTGTCAAACGAAAACCAAGTAACAGGAGTACATCGAGGCTAAAATTGGTGTCAAGTTGAGTCAAGTTACAGTACTGCACGTGTATGATGTTTAAATGCTGACAAACATGCAAAACTACACAAACAAAACAAACATGCTAATATCTACGATCACCTGGAAATGCATCGAGGTGTGGTAACATATTTGTGTTTCTTAAAACATCCTTGCCAATGTTGGGTCACTTATCCGACATAATGAATTCAATAACAAAGTACATGAAAAGAAAATTAACATAATTTTGAATAAAAATGTTTTGGTGACCAATTCCACAATCAGTAAGTACAAGAATTCAAGAGCACAGATCTAAATGATAATGACTATTAGAAATAGTTTTAGAACAAATGAAGAAAATAAAGTAATACAAAAGGATGTGATAAACCAATCAGACAAAAATTTAAAACGGGCATGGGCTTAGGGCGCTGTTTGAGTGAGGTTTTAAATTACAAATATAACGGTTTTTATAATTTACAATTTGGAAGAACCGAAAGAAGAAACGACAGTGGAACGGTCAAAGAGACGTCGCGCTGATCGGCGTGACCGCGTACTTCGGATGAACGTGACTTCGCGTACTTCTGCCAGACGACCTGCACGGAGAAGTGCAGGTCGTCAGAGATATCAGAGAGGATACCTGAATGGCAATACGATATCAGAGGAGGTCGACATGCTCGGCCAGAGCCGAGGTTTTGCCACCCTCAAATTTCGGGTCTCGAAGATTCAAGTTTGCTCAAGCTCCCTGACACGATTCGTCCTCGCGGTTGAGCTCTACAAAATCTAAATGCTTATTATTAGTTTACCATTGAGCTCTAAATATAGTAGTATATGAATAATTTTTCTACCATCAACATTGGAAGAAATCCCAGAATACAGCATCAAGAATTTCACATCGAGAAAATACTACGTAAATATTTTAACTCAGAAACGTCTTTAATCCGAAAATTCTCTGTGCGAATCGTTTATACCAGTTTTTTTAACTCTTGAACTGATGAAAAACTGCTCTCCGATAAGCTTGTGTTGAAAATATGGTGAATTTTATTCTATTTTTAGTTTTGTTGCATTTGAGACACAAGCAATTAAGACATCTCAATACTCAACCATAATAAAATTCAAATTTACACGCGATAAAGGTCAAAATCGGAAAATCTCAAATTAATAAACAATTGGCCAGAACCATATCTTCAAATATATCAATTCTTTGCGGCGGATGCTGACCATATTTCTGCAGGAGTAAGTGTGTAGTGTCGTCCTTAAAGAGCTTCAGTTTGTCGAGGTTTTACAATTTCCCGTTCAACGGCCAGCAGCAGCACGCCAGCAACGCAGCCTGTGCGTAATAATACTCAATTAATTGCACATGATATCGAACGATGAAATAATTAAATTTACGCGAAATATATCAATCACTTGCTACTAATTTTCAGGACATTTATGACTTTCTTAGATAAAAACACTGACAATCATTGTACGCACGTTACGATCGAGCATTTTTAACAATATGTTTCCTGGAGTTTCTTGTCGATCAAAAACAATCTACCGGGAGAACCAGGAAGAACTCACGGTTTATTATAAATGTCTAGCCTGTCAAGAGCAGCAGAACGAATTGTCAAAGAATTAATAATGTTTAATTTGTCAGGAGCAGCAGAAAGACTCCCCACCATTAAGAAGGTCTAACCTGTCAGGAGCAGCAGAAAGACTCCCCACCATTAAGAAGGTCTAACCTGTCAGGAGCAGCAGAAAGACTCCCCACCATTAAGAAGGTCTAACCTGTCAGGAGCA